GCTACGACCCAGCCCGAGTGCAAGGGGTTTCGTGGTTGAACTGGTTGCTTCTGATTAACATGACACCTATATAGGTGCTCAACCCGGTCTGGCGTCATCTCAATGAAGCGGACGACCAGTTTGTCTGCAAGTGTGGTGACTCGGTTTTAGATTTAGACTCAAAGAAGACATTTTTTTCAATTCTTCAAAACAGCTTTCAAAAATCCTGTAAGGGGTAACAAATTCCTATTTTGACATTCAAATGACAAGATGACAATTTCCTCAGGTTTTTTCTGAACCTGTTTTGATGCGGAATGGTCCAAGCACCAATGGAATACACATGGTTGACGTCTTCAGAGTATAAAAAAAACTCACATTGTTTGTTTGTTGTTTAACGCCACACTCGGCAATATTCCAGCTATAAGACTGCCGTCTGAACATAATCGAGTCTGGACAAGACAATCCAGTGATTGACATCATGAGCATCGATCCACGCAATTGGGATACGATGACATGCAGCAACCAAATCAACGAACTTGTCCAGCCTATCAATTTAGTCGCCTCTTACGCCAAGGATAGGTTGTTGAAGACCAATTCTAACGCGGATCTTCACTACGTGGGTGATGTGGTAGCCAATTGTTCACACAAAAGACCCTAATCTTGCTTGCTATGGTTCAAATTCTTGAGTGTAATCTCCCCGAACCTTGACCCCTGCTATTCCCACAAGACAGCTGGTGTCGACGTTAACACGTTTCGTTTTCATACACTCGGTGAAACAAAACAACGTCAACGCCAGAGATTAACCATCCTCGATTACACGACGAAACAAATTCCATTGGGCGTGAAGCCAAAATAGCCAAAATAGCGGTGAAAATTGTATGAATGAATCACTGAAAATCTGTGATGACACCAGGTGTTCGCAAAAAGAGAAAAATGACCTTCCAAGAAATAGTTTGTGGTTTTGGTTGGTTGTGGTTGGTTCGAGTATAAACGTCTCATATATCACACGATGAAATGGTCAATACGTATTTGCCAACTCTTGGTGAGTTTATGCCTTCTGCGGAACGCCTGCAACAATGAAAGCTCTCTGCTACAAAGTCTGCTCAATGTCTGTGTGTGACCCTGCAGAGAAACGTGGCCTCCTCAACGACTCCAAAACACAATAGTATAGATTCCGCTTGATGAACGTGCTGTAAGGAGTTTACTTAATGTCATGTGCATGTTTCCCTTGTGCAGATCAAGGGTGAGGGTCGCAAGGGACCGTCTCAAAAGCTGTTTTATGGTAAAATACGTCATCTAGAAACTAGAACTCATTTGTTGAGATGAATAAGAGTGTCGTGTCGACAAGATCACGTCCGTGTTGCGATCGACAAGAGGGAATGAGTGTGCTCACGTCGTTTCGAACAGTTTTTCAGTCATGAAAATGGCGAGTCTGTTTAATGAAGATATACATTGAAAGTGATGTAGACGTTACAACTTAAGTGAAACTCACGTGAACGGGTGCGGTGTTGACAAAGCAGATTATAACGGGGAATCTGATTTCAAGCTCAGGACAGGGACTATGATGTTCTGCACAGCGTCAACGGCTGCAGCGATAAACAACATCATCATCTCCGCCATCGTAAATACGCGACACCAACATCATCATCAGCAGCAGCAGCCGCCATCGTAAATACGCGACACCAACATCATCAGCAGCAGCAGCAGCCGCCGTCGTAAATACGCGACACCAACATCATCGTCAACAGCAGCAGCAGCAGCCATCATGGAGATCCTGTCGCTATACTATTGTAACTCCTTTACCTTAACATTGACGTACGACAGTAAATATTTATATCATGCAGTACGGGCATGCAACCCTACAGTCTTCCTCTAAATGAAACAACACAAAGTTGTCCAGGATACGTGAATACGTTGAATGTGTACACCATATTCAAGCAAGAAAACCAGAAAACAGCTTATCACAAAGTATCCATTTGTGAAATAGACTGCGGGCCTTAGGCGCGAAGAGCGAACGCTTTAACCACTAAGCGACCCGCTCAGTATAACGGCTAACCATAACATCACTATCGTTTATCGACATACATGTAACCAACGCCGCCATCAGGAGCAGTAAAACAACGTCAGCTGTTTACATCACCGACCCCCCGACCACACTCATATTCCAACGGAAAATTCAAGCAACTGAACGATCATTCTTGTGGATCATGTTTCCATTTGCTCGTTAATTAATCAAATTAATTGCGCGGGAAAACACCTCCAGATTAGCTAATAACAAACCGACCCACTATCACACGTGCTCCATGTACATATTCACGCACATGTTTTCACGCACGTGGGCCGAAGATTTTTGATTAGCTCACCTGCGTCGCAGTCTAATGGAAAACTGTTAAAACGATGATGCCAATAAGCAAACAGGCCAGGGAGACCCGGATGTTTTCAAATTGGGGGAAAATAAGGGCAGGTAAAGATGGAAGGGGATGTTAACGCTGCAAGATGTTCCCAACAGATGCCCAACCCCGACACGAGGCAGAGAATATATGCCATGTGGTAGAATTCTATTAACTATAATTTTTAATTAGAAACAGAAGCCTAGGTATTTAAAACAGAAGGGTTGAACACGAGCATAGACGTACAAACCAATTAACAGTTATAAAGTTTCACCTCGCTTATCCGGACTCCGGACAACCGGTATCCCAGACAATACTTTCAGAAACGTCTACACTCGTAAAAAGCATTGCTCCATACCCGTGATTCGAAATCCGGACATTCGTTAATCCGGACGATTAAACCTTCGAATCGTACCGGATTAACAGGGTTTATTACAGGACATATTTTAAAGGCGTAGAAAAAATGACAAAGTAGACTCAATTTATGGATAAACATTTCTTTATTTTACTGAAAAGTGATGTTTCGGTATAGATCCTTATATTGTTGTCAGTTATGGTATAAGGACTCAAATGGCTTGACAATGGTTTAAGGATCTAAACCCAAACGTCGCTATTACAGTAAAATGAAGAAGTTATTATCCATAAATTGTGTCTACTTCGTCATTCGTCAACTTCTAAGAAATGCCTGTCAAACAATAGAAAAAATTAAATGTTTAAATTTTTGAAAACAAAATTAAATTGTCTATTATTCAATTTAAGGAGATACTTTGCAAGTCGTAGCTTGGCAATTAACACTTCGTAAAGGTATGTCGTTAAGATGGACTAGTTGTGAATTAAAAAATACGACATTCATTACCTGTCGGTGTTAAAAAACAGAGTGCACAGCCTTACAAGAGTGTCAGGAGCCATAAAAATCTCGACGACATCACATAACTAGTCATCAAGAACGCCCAATACACGCGAAATGTCAGCTACAGCTGTAGGAAGTGTTGACATATATTGCCTAAATGAAACATGTTATTTTGAAGAAAAAAAGAATCAAATGACACGAAATGACATTAAAATATTTCCACTGAAATTAGGTTATTAATAACAGTAGGAGAAATATGGTCTAGTATGGCACGTATGTTGTTATGTGTACACATCGTTTTGTTATGACTGTTGTTTTACGCCGCACTCCGACATATTCAATCTAAATCACGCGGTAATACACGAGTCCAGTGATTGATATTAAGAGCAGCTATCCACGCCGTCGGGGTACGATGACATGAAATCAACCATGTCGACTACCATGACCTCTCATCAGTTCTCTGTTGTTGCTTAACGCCGCATTCAGCAATATTCCAGCTATATCCCAGTCATATGACGGTGGCTTTTAAATCGAGTCCAGACAATCCCGTGATTGATATTGTGAGCAACGTCACACACAATCGAGTTATATCAACCAAGTCAACGAAGGGCGGTCGGGTAGCCTAGCGGTTAAAGCGTCACGCCGAAGACCCGGGTTCGATTCCCGACATGGGTACAATGTGTGAAGCTCATTTCTGGTGTCCCCCGCGGTGATATTGCTGGAATATTGCTAAAAGCGGCGTAAAACCATACTCACTCACTAACTCAACGAGCCTGACCACCCCATCCATCAAATCTCCTTTTACGACCAGAATAAGTCTTGGGGAGCAATTCTGACTCGAAATCCGCACGGGATATATAAGCAATGTACACACAAGTGCATAACAGCCATATCTTAACGGCATAAACACAATGTAGGCTCCTGAGACAATGAAAGTTAATATCGTAACACTATTTGATAAACATTCTGTTTGATTGGCACTTCCAAATAAAGACAGAGGTCAGTATATTGTTTAATATACCATAATGTGAAACATAACATCTCCTATGAAACATTTAGTTTAATTAAATATATGAATTTAGACGAAGATCAAAATTTAAACATGTGTTCCAGTGTCAGTGATTTATATACTATTATATACAGGTAACAAGAAAAGGAATATAACTTCTTCAATGTATTATTTTTCCCTTTTCGTGAGTAATGAGATAAAACATTGTCCCAACTTTGACAAGTTCTATTTGTGTAAAAAAAATATATGCTCTTGCAAAAACGTCAACCATCATAATAAACCCAAAAGGGCCCTGTACACTTGACTGGGTAATTTTTCCCCACGTTACTGACAGCGGCAGAGAAGTGTCCCCTGCTGCCTCGTCTATCAACAATCAGTTTATACCTATCACTACACACGCCGGGAAGGTAATGTAACGAGGACAAAAAAATCACTTCAAGAGTTGTACCGTGTGATATATCACAACAGTACATGCCTGGTGTTTTTACACGTGTTTTTTTAACGATCGGGAGCTCGTTCAACCTATTTCAAGTAACTTGGGTTCGATTTGGAAGAATCGCGGATAGTTCCCCACCGGGGTGTGGAAACAGAATGAATAAAGTACCGTAAATAATTATTTGGTTTTAAAGCAATTGTTCCATGTAAATATGGGAACCTGGTAACGATGTTGGGAATGCATGACGTTTTCTATAGACAATTAGAAAAAAATTGACATGGAAGCTAATGAAAGAACAAACTTTGTTTTTAGAAATTGTTATTTATCTTAACTTACCTTAAACAACCTTCTCTGTTCTCAGAATGTTTTTAGTCCGTGCGATTGTAATCATATAGCCATCCACAGCAAACACACGTTACTTCATTGCACTAATTAGTTTAAGGTCCAGTTACAATTCACAAAACAAACCGGAACTGTTTTGTTTCGTCAGTCCGACCCGAGTCAGTTGACGTTTGCAGATGCTACTATTTGGCCTGAATACGTCAGCCATGCGTGAAAGCAAGCGGGGCGACACCTGGCGGCGATTGAGAGATTCCAACTCAAGTTCCGTAACCCTGCCCGCACTCGCTCACAATAGAAAGTTTTCTTAGGGTCCGATTCAAGGAATGGGCCGTAAGATCTAAGCCAGAGCTGGTGAAGTTAGCGGGACTGTACAGGTGGTTTGGGTTAATTCTCGTGCCGTGTTTTGATTCCGACTTTTATCACTGAAATGTATGTGGGTACTGGAACTTGGTGTTCGCGCGATTTCGTTGGGCAGCAAGTTCGGTGATGAGCGAGTTCAGATCAGGCCCGACAGCAGGGTTGATGTTTGAATAGACATTATTGGGAATTAATTGTTTTGCCACCTCAAATTGTTTAGATAATCTTTGGTATTTTCGTGGTCGTATTATTTCAAGGATTTTTGTGTCAGGGCAAAGAAATATTTACGTTTCGGGGGGAAATGATATATAGTTGTGAATACGGCGACGTTAAAATAATTGAAGAGAGATCGGAAGGGATAAAACGAATGTAGAAGCAACAACTTCACTTTTAGGCAATCACAATATATAAGAGACAAATATCAACCAATATTTTTTTATGATTTATCGATTTTGATGGATTTCTTTAAGAGTTTTACAGTTCCCTTTGTAAGACATTCCTTCTTCATGTTCCTCAGTTTTCATTGAAGTGCAATTAAGTACACCCCCACCCCACCCCCCTCCACACACTCACACATCCCAACTACCCCTCCATTCACTCACTCACTCACCCACACAGAACACAGGTAAGACCCTCATGTCTCCGGAAGTGGTCGTACTGACAAGGTATGTAGACAGCCTCCATGTTTATCTATGTCCTGATTGAAGTACAGTTAATTACAACACCCTCGTGTCTCCGGGAACGGGTTGCACGAGCCCAAAACACACGCTTGTCTAATGATCACTGACACTCGCGATGTTTTCGAGTTTCTATCCAATCCTGTCCTACCAGAAGCGCCATCCAGGGGACAGGGAGGTGAACGAGTCCAAGGAACTTGCTTCAACGTGTCATGACTAAACGAAGGATACACAAAAAATAACGCTGGTACAATTCCCGATGCAACAAATATTACACATGATCCCTCCTCAATAGCATCAATGTGTGATAAGGACACCATTAACTGCGATTATTTATACATAAATTTAAAAATATGGATTTAATTGCTAATCCGGAAAATGATAATGTCATTTCGCTCTTGCTAGATAAATTGTGTACCTGATAATTGCAAGCGCTGACATAGTCGGAATTCCGATCTCCCGCCGTGCATCGTCAAACAGTCGGGCGATATGCAATAAAACCTTGAAATACGCATTAATGGTTCATAACATTAGACTCGAAACCAAATCATTCGCAATATTAGATAATACTATCAAACACCTGATTTTGTATGTATGAAATTAGGTGCGTTTCGTAATAAAAACTAATCTGAATTTTGTCAGAAACTGCAGACTGGGTCTATACCTGCGTGGCGGGGCCGCAAAATAATGATCCCAGTTACACACTGCTACAGTTATATGTTTAATTTATCATTATGTTAGTTTGAAGATTCTTTGATATTTGAATAAATGAAAATATTGATTGCTTATCAGTAGTAATGAAATCAAGTGTCCTGCTTCAGATAAGCCAAATAATAGACGCTGAGACCTGTTGTGTATAAGTTGTCAGCTTAATGTGGGAGAACTGACGTAAGTTGTGGATATTTACCACTTGGGGAAATCCAAGAGCACTGGATCATATTCAGGTCGAATCTGGGATTCGAACACCGACCCATAGAAGGATCCCGAGGGTGGTTCAGGGGCGTCGCCCCCCCCCCCCCCCCCCCCCCCCCCTGAAAACCAAATGTAGTATGTTGTAGACAGTAAATTAACTGAGAGAGGAATTTGATAATTTGGACCCCTCCCTTTTAAAAATGCTGGATCCGTCCTTGATTAGATCACGGTAGCTAATTTAGGGACACATCGTTGTCAGCCTCAAGTCCCTGAACCATGACTAAAAGTTAGTCTATGAAAATGTATGATTTTGATGGATCTGAATCTCCCATCTCACTGGGGCTTTACATGCAGTTGTTTGTTTATATCATTATTATGTATCATCATAGACTATCAGAGTCGAGGACACAACCGCTGCATGTAACGCCTTGAACCAAGAGGCTTCGTAGTTTTCGGGATTTTTTTGTGAAATTGTGTGCTTAGTCTTCACGACAAAAACACATATCTACGAATATTTATAATCCCTAACATTTTTCTGCAGTATACATAGCTCTATTTCAGGGAATATATGTTAATCTAGCAATGTGTTTTACTAAATTATTCCTAATCTTAATCCTAATCTCTGTCCCTAAAGATGAAATTATGTTGCCGGGAAAAGGAAGTTAATTTTTGTCTTCCCTGTCTGTAAAGCTCACAAAAGAATGCATCGGATGATTTCACAATACTAATACTAATTATAACAGCTAAAATACATAAATTCATAATTTACTTAGAACGATACCATGGGGTTATTTTACAGTTAAATTCCGAATAAAAATCAATTACATTCAATTATTTGCATGCATAATTGAATTTGTTTAGCTGAACATGTAATTATGTAGCACACCTGTCAATCTACCTGTCTGTGTGAACGTTGGTCTGCCTTGCTTCTCGTCAGGTGAGACTATTGATTAATGAATAACTGCACCATGCGTCGTGCAGGTGTGTCGTGATTCGAGACCTGTGAAGATCGTGAGTTCCTGCATTGAAGCAATGAATGGGATATTCCCCATAACAGTTTAATTGGTATCATCCGTATTGAATATATATATATATATACCTACATGTGTGATTCATAATATATCGGTTGTGGTCCAGCGTTCCCACGATAGTTCTATTTCAGCTTCACGTTGCTTTGAAGTAATCAACCATGGTGAAATATCCTTTCACATGACACAAATTTACATTCCAATGTTATAATTATCCCTTAAAACATATTTCTCTTCAGCTTATTTTCAAATAAATTCTTCCTTTTTACTTAGTACACGAAAACTGATTTAATCTCGTAAGAAACATTTTGTGACAAGGAAAGATAACTCTGTTCTTTTAAAATCCGGAAGTTTTTATGTTCAAAGATCCGGAATTTAACCGGACAAGAACACATATTTTTTATCGCCCTGAAGAAAATCGGGCATCAATAGCCATGAAGCCAAATAAAACTACCGGTGTTTTCAAATGGTTTCAACAGTGGTGCTATCTATACCTGGAACCGGTATTTGTCCATTTAGCAGTCATAGATATCATTCTTCGGTCATGCGAGGGATAAATCTATTTGATATTGCCATGAAATCATTCTCTACGTTCCCAGCTCATAACGGTGCGCTCAACACATGCCTTCTAATTCATTCCAAACGATCTCTGTCGAGAAGAGCTAACCGTTGCTTTTGTTCACGTCACAGCTTCAGACTGCAGTTGTTTATTTAAGTCAAAGCGCCTCTTAAAATGTGGCAGTTTGAAAGTGTTTTCTCAAACACCAAGTATAAAAGAATTTTTTTAAAAACCATCAGTCAAACGGACTATGGTATGTTACGGTAAAATACAATCCAGTTTATTGTCCAATCTCAACACAGAGCATCACGCCCGTCGGCGCAGTTCGTTTCATTATCATGTAGGGGTCGCACAAGTTCAGGCAGTGTTGGAGAGTTAAAGGCCGAAGACAAAAGGGAGATAGCGCGTCGTTCCGTCAACAGACAAGGGTTGAATTTGACTCCACGGGCTGTCCCAGTTACGTCGGTCATACGTCAGCGGCAGCCGCCATTTTACGACGGTGAAGCGGGTGCACACATGCGCAGTTGACATGTAGGTGTTATGTGGGTGATCAACGGGCAATGAATTGTCAAGATTGTGGAGCACGACGGCAGAAAATTGCAGAGTCTTCAAGGATGTAGAGACATTTTTTGAATTCAAAAACAAATTTCTTACACAGATGGGCGGAACGTTGTGCAACACAGATGCGTTAAAGGGAATACACATGGAGAAAGTAAGCGGCATGTAGACTTTGACGGAAATAGATTGGCATTCCGTCATGTCAGCCTTCAAAGCTGATTAAGATGTTTTTTCCACATTTTTTCAAGTTAAAAAACTCTTACAGAGGAATCTTTCTTAGCGTAAGATCCGTGGCCATTCATCAGTTCGGTGTCGTCGAGTGTAGCTTACAATGGCGTTATCCTGTCCAAGTCGAACGTGATAATTGCTTTTCTTCTGGTGCAAATGTCTCTCATACCTCAACTAATCGTTTAATAAATACTTTTGCCCCCTAAAAAACTGACTGTAATAATTAACATGTTAGGCGGTGATGTTCGAGAGTCGGGGCCTGAGGTAACCTGGAACAGAATACCTACCGACTCGCAAACATGCCTGCCTGTCACGTGACTTCCGGTAACGTCATGTGACAAGCTGTGTCACGTGATATTAAGGTTACGTTAACTATTTGATTTCATGCGTTCATTTTCTCTTCCTTTACCGACACCCTGGGTGTTTAATGTATAAAATATATAACAAGCCCTTTGAAAATCATTCAGAGTTGCGTCCCTTTGGCACGCCAGAAACCTATGATTGTGGGTTCGAATCCCGGTTCGCCCCGATTATGTTTCTAGGTTTGTCAGTACCATACCCGTGCCCGTGGGTTTCACCAAAGTGGTAAACGTCTGAGACCTGCATCACTTCGGGCTTTCCTCCCACATTAAGCTGACACGCCGTGATATAACTGGAATACTGTTAAAAGCGGCGTTAAACCCAACTCACTCACTTTTATGACACTGCTTCAAATACACGACATGAATAAGGACGCTCCGGAATAAATAACACCTGATTCACACAGTTTCCCCTGCTATTTTGCCTTGTACGCCCAATTGTCTCAATGGTTATTCCCTGGCGTCGACGTTTTTTATTTCT